ACATGCTATTAGGCTTTTGACATAGACTCACAGTTGATCTAAGCTTCATACATGTAATTGACGGTGAGGGAAGGAAACAGCCTGTGGGCTGCCCAAGGGCAACAGAACGCTTGCAGATCACGGGCATGGCCAAGGAGCTATGACCATACCAGGCTTTTCGTGAACAAAAGCAAGGAGAGGGGGTATGCACTGCACTCTGGCCTTTGCCAGGACAGTGGCTTTGCTGAGTTTCTCACTAGGCTTCCCACTGGGGCAGCGGTTCTCAACCTGTGGGTCACGACCCCTCTGGGGGTTGAATGACCCTTTCACAGGGGTCGCCTGATTCATAACATAGCAAAATTACAGTGATGAAGTAGCAATGAAAATAATTTTATAGTTGGGAGTGTCACCCCAACATGAGGAACTGTATTAAAGGGTCGCGGCATGAGGAAGGTTGAGAACCACTGCACTAGGAGAATTCCAGACCCACTGGGAGGTCAGCCTGCTTCTCATCTCAGAACCAGAGGGTCAAATAATCCCTCCCTCTGCCTTCTGATATCAAGACATGTGGGCAAGAAATCCAGGCGCTGCCAATCAGTGGCCTTGGATTGGAATCTTGAGCGCGTGCCCAAAATCACGTGGGAGCCAGACTACTACTGATGGCAGGAGTAGCATTGCGATCCAACCATGGGACACCAAGTGCCCAGGAGCTGAAGAATTAGCCCTGAGCAGCTAGTTCCTGAGATAGTCAGTTTATTGTGCCAACCTGGCCGATAAACACATGTGAGGTTAATTGAAGGGCAGAGAGATAAATGGCTCGGGGAGCCTCACTTTTCTAATTCCCAGGTCTCTTACTTTCTGATGGTCAGACCAGGATGCAGCTGCCTTAGCCAGTTCCCTGATTTAGCTGGCAAGGTCACTTCCTGCAAGACATCCCTGAGAAGAAGCCCAGATGCAGCCCTGGGTGCTGGAGCAGACCCCTGCTAGCGCTGAGATGCTTACACGTTCACTGACTCTGCTTTCCTCCTGTAGTCAGTGTCATGGCGTGTGTTTTGTGAGATGGAGGAGGACTTTCTGGATTGGTGGCAGACAGACATATGGGTTAATGTTTGACTTGTGGGCTTGGGCAGCACTGGATTGGGATGTTTTCTTGATGTGCATTTACCCTTTATAGAAACCTCTCTCTTATACATATGAGTTTCTGTGAATTTGTTTCTCGAAAGTACCAAGACTAAGACAGTTCCCAAGGCATGACTTGGACAGCGTACTTTCTTACTTCCTGCCCCTTCCTTGTAGGAGCCGATTTCTCTTCTTCCCATTAGCTCTATGGAGTTAGAGATTTTGAAGCTAACGTGGAGCTTGGCTGGATATTTCATTACTGGAAAGTAGACGAAAGGGGTGCAATTTGCCCAGAGTGGCAAAAGGGGGAGGACAGTTAGTCAGTAACACAAATGAACGTGTAAAATGATTTTGAATTCTTTGGGAAAGTTGATGTTATTCAGTCGTCATGTTCATCCCATCCTAAGAAGGCAGCACTAC